TTGTCCTGGTGTCTGGCTGCTCAAAGTTTCTGGGTAAGTTCTCTATCTCAGTCCCCTCACCCTACCAGATAAGTTTCCCTCTTGTTCTTGCACGGATTATGAAGCACATAGCAGGCTCACACCACAAAGGGAATGTTGTGTTTGCTGAAGTCCAACTTAGTCAAGAGACTCCCAAACTTACCCTTTAAGGTGCCCCAAAGCACATTCAACCACCATTCTACACTTGCTCAGCCTGTAGTTGAACTGCTCCTTACTGGGGTCCAAGCTGCCCATATACGGCTTCATTAGCCATTGGAGCAGGGGGTAGGATGGGTCACCAAGAATCACAATTGGCATTTCCATCTCTTCAATTCTGATTTTCCTGTTTGGGGAAAGAAGTTCCAGTGTGCATCCTTCTGAAGAAGCAGGAGTTCCTAAAGATCTGGGCATCCTGCATCTTTCCTGACCATCCCATGTTCATGTCAGTGAAATGGCCCTTGTGATCCACTAGTGCTTGCAGCACCATAGAGCAGACCCCTTGCACTATATGTACTTCTTGGCAAGGTGGGGATATGTGTTCCATCTATCGCCCCACTGTAGTTAAAGAATCTCATGGCAGCAAAGCTGCCAACTATGGTATCCAGGTTTCCCAGAGTCACAACCCTCTGAAGCAGAATGTTATTGATTGCCTTGACTACTTGTATAACAGCCCCCACTGTAGATTTCCCCACTGTGAATTGGTTCGCCACTGACTGATAGGTGTCTGGTGTTGCAAGCTTCCAGCGGGCTACTGCCATATGTTTCTCCATGGTCAGACCAGGTCTCTTTCAGGTGTCCATGTGCTTCAGGGCAGAGGAGAGCCATTCACGAGGTTCCATGAAGGTGGCGATACGCATTTGAAAGTTTTGCAGCACTGCTAATCATCCCATCTCTGCATCAAAATGCAGTCCCATCAGTCTGTACTTGTCTCACGGCACTGGAACCTGCATTCCACTTAATTGACTGGCGGCTGTGCTTACATCAGCGCCAGGGCTTGCATGAGCAGCAACTCCATGCTAAACTGAGAGTCATCATTGTCCTCTTCCTGGTGTAGCAATGTGTACACTTTCAACGGTGCACAAACACAGTCATCAGCATCACAATGGTTTAATGCAAAACAGGATCTATGTTTGTGCTGCTGTGGCACCTGTATGGGCAACCAGGAAAAAAAGGGCATGAAAAGACTGCTTCATGTGGGTCTCAAGCAAGGATGGAGGAACTAGAGAAGTGCATTATGCAATGAAGATTACATGAACCCATAACCATCTGCTGCACAGTTTTGGTCCCAGCAGGCACCAGGAGCATAACCCAGAATGCAAAGCTACTCATAGTGCATCACTCTTGACGATAGGCTCCTTAATGGGAACGTTCCACTTTGGACTACATTAAATTCTTCATCACATAAGAACATTTTGGTTTAGGTGGAGCACAGCCTTCCTGTATAGGCTTTCCCCTTTCCTAAAAATTTCCCCAGTTCCTAATAAATCTAAATCCCTCCTCTCTATACCATCGTCTCATCCACGCATTGATACTCTGAAATTCTGCCTGCCTACCTGGCCCTGCGCGTGGAACTGGAAGCATTTCAGAGAACGCTACCATAGAGGACACGGGCCTTCGACTTTGCAAAATCAGGTGTTCAGAAATTAGCCATTATAGATTTGACCTTATCTTGTAGTGTAGACATGGCCTAAAACAAAACACTGCCCCAGTCATTTTTCTTTCACAGTTTTCCTTTAATCAAGAATTTCAGATCCATAATCCTTAGAGGTCAGAATTTTGTGTGGGGACCACCTTTACTTCTGTCTTGGACTGTGCTGAGTACGTAAATGTTTAACAAATAAGATCACTTTTCTGGTTGCATTTCCCCCCAATGATTTGTGTAGCAGTCAGGATTCACTGCTGTGGTGCCTTGCTTCATCAGTGATGATAACTATTCCACTGCGTGTGTTCATGCATTTGCTCCCCCCATTTACTGTGTTGACTAAATGTGCATGGTCAACACAGCAGACTCCAAGAGAGTCCCCAAAGACCACAAAATCAGATAAGGATTGAAGGCACCAGGACAGGTTTATTATAGATGAGGCATGGTCCTAGCTGCCCCAGACCAAAGGGTCTACAGTTAGGCTAACACAAGCATGCCCATTATACTAGAGCAAGGCTACTCAACTTTGGGCCACAATGATACTTACAGCACATGCTGAGGTCCGCAACTTAAATGTGGTTGCATATACATGCAAATATATGCCAATAGCTTCTTTCACACTAATGGGCATGGGTACAAAGCAATTCCCACAATGCCTTGGTGCTCCCGGCACGTGCTCCGTGGAGGCTAGAAACGCAGACATCCTGTACCCATCTGTTCCAGCCAACCTGTCTGCTTGCGTCTTTCAGTACTCACTGCGCCTGAGAGACACCTTGCCATTGTGGAGCGTGTTCCCAGTGGAGACCATATGTAAAGGATGCCACCCATGGGCCACATGTTGAGCCCCACATAAATCCAAACAGCACCAGGGGCTGCAGACAAAAGGGCTGTGGTCCGCATGTTGAGTAGCCCTGCAGTAGATGGACTCGGTCCGTGCCAGGGATGAGACGCTGTCTCCTAGAGCAGACAAAGACAACAATATACATTGGGAGCAACCGTAGGTGAAGTTGGAGTCTGAGAGACAGGATGCACAACTGCAAGTCTGGGATGATATTTCTGCATCCCCACTCCTTCCATGTGAGAGGCATAAAATGCTATTCATCCTGGTCTGCCGCAGGCTATGAAAAGCTTACAGTTCTGTTTGGCCTTGGAGTGAAAGATTGCCCTGGCACAGCCCCGGCTCCAATTGAAATGGTGAGAGTTGAGGATAGGAAAGATCTTATAATTGTTTCCCTTATTCTCCCCACACTAACCAAAATAAAATAAATGTGCAGTCTGTCTCAACAGCAACTTCAGCTTCTCCAAGCCCTTTAGAAGGGCTCCAATAAGTCAAAACAGACTAGAAGGTCAGCAGAGCTGTTGCACATATGTGGGTGCCCGCTGAGAGAAGCTGACAGAGCAGGAGTTCAGCTGGCCTTGGGGAAGTGATGAGGAAGAAATCTAGAATGAGTGCTGGAACCGCTCAATGACATCTTTCAGATATGTTGTAGGCATGAGTAGTAAGTGAGGCACTGCTGGGTTTGGGGCTTTTGTGTAATCAGGCAGGTCCATTTTCTCCATACAGTGTGGTAGTGCTTCTGAATTCTGTTGCCTTGTACTGTAAGGAGTCTGGCCAACTAGTGCATACCAGAGGTAAACTGAGGAAGGGGAATGTCTGAATGAAGATCTGCAGCGCAGCCCAGGCACAGCACTGCTTAGGGTTTTGTTATACTCTTTGAACTTCTCTAAACCGGGGTTCTCTGGTCTGGCAACATGTTACCAGACCAGAGAGTCCCAGTGGAGAGCTGGTGGCTGAGAGCCCAGCGTGCTACAGCGGGGCTCCCTGGGATAGGGAGGGGCAGTGGGGTTAGGGAACAGGCTCTGTCTGGTGGCCAGGCCAGGTCTGGGGGAGCCGTGGCAAGGGGGCCAGAAATTATCTCCCCTGGTCCAGCAAAATCTCTCATCTGAGACTGGTCATGTCCCAAGGGTGCCGGACCAGGTTGGATCCAACCTGTACTTTCCCAAAAACTGGCTGAGCATTAGTTTTTGACTTCTGGTGGGTAAACGGTATTGCAGCTAAATTGTTCTGGGTTTTTTGTTTCTCCCTCCCCACACATACACACCTTATCCAATCACCTCAGGGTTGTTTTGCTTCTCAAACAGCCTCAGAAGCCTTTTTAAGTGTCAGACCATGGCTTGATGATGAATTGTTATGCCTAGTCAAACACAAACTGTTTGGTAGGCCAGTGGTCCCCCATATTGTTCAAGCAGCAGTTTTACTTGGCTTTACCATCCAGTACTCACCATTTTTGATTCAGTAGTTCGTCCTATGGCTTTGCTTATGATTACAAGACTAGAGATTGGAGCAGCTTAAACTTCCATCTTGTTTAAAAGCTGCATGAATGAATGGGAGGGGGGTCGCAGCAGCAGTGTGGGACACCATGGTAGTGCATCATGAAGCTAAGGAATGGACCTAGGGTAAAAGTCTCAGACCTGACTCTTGAGGTATACAGTTGTAGCTTAGTGAATGGGATTCACTATCCTGGATTTCCTCTGGCATCAGGGGACACTAGTACAAAGCAGTGCCCCTTTGTGCTTTGGGTATTCTGACTGAGCTAATATGATTGCTGTGCTAGAGATGAAATTGCTCTCTTCTTACCAATAAAACTAGCGTGTGTTTCTGCTTTTAAGGTTTTCCTGCAAGGGGAGCATTGAATGCTATTTGTGGACTGGGGTTTGCTGCATGTGCTTTCTTTCTTGCTGAAACCTCTTGATCAAAGATTATGTGAAAATCCCCAGTTACCCTCTTTTGGATGCTTGATACTTAGGAGACGTTGATTATGTTGTATGAATCTTCATTATGTTGTATGAATCTTCTGAAGAGCTTGTCCCTTTTCATTGAGAATAAATGTGAGAACTGCACAAGGGGCTCACATCTGAGATTCTAGCTCTTTAGGCTAGGTGTGTTGTGGAGGCAGCCTGCTCCTCCCTTGGAGGGAAAGGCTAGCCTGGTAGGTTACTTATTAACCAGCTTTCATGGTGTTAAATAGTGTTGATGAGTGCCAATGAGAGTCCTTTTTAGTTGGAATGACTGTAGTGTTAAAGTAGAGCTCATTGGTTTGGTATGGGGAGTGGGAGGGTGAACTTCATGGGCTCATAGGTCATCTTATGTCTAAAATAGATCAGCTAGGTTCATTGTTCTTTGTGTGCGTTCAGGGGCTGGTTAGCAAGGCAAGAACCCAATTCCCATACTGAAAGCTGTAAACATTTAATTCTGGCAAATGGCCTTGTCTCTAAAGGACAGTTTTCTCCTTTCTTCTTTTTCTCTCTGCTTTTTCTGTACTCTCTGCCCTGGTACCAGCAGGTTCGGCTACAGCTTTGGGACACAGCAGGCCAGGAACGGTTCCGCAGCCTCATTCCCAGCTACATTCGTGACTCCACCATTGCTGTGGTAGTCTATGACATTACAAGTGAGTGGTACTTTAATGTCTCGTATTTGAAATGCTAAGCTAGAGAGAGAAGCTAGTATATATGCAGTCATGAATTATTACAGAAAGTTAACATTAGAAACATAACTGTCTCTTTCCTTCTCTGTGTGGACAAGAAGCAATCTAAGGATGTCACCTGTGCAGTGTTTGGGGAATTGGCAAAACATTATGGGTAAAGATGCAGGTAGTTTTGGAAGTGTTCCATTATCCCTTTGTTTGAAAGAACTGCTAGTTAACATGCTCGATTCTCCCTGCTTCACACAGATCTGAACTCATTCCAGCAAACCTCCAAGTGGATTGACGATGTGCGAACAGAGCGAGGAAGTGATGTCATCATCATGTTGGTGGGGAATAAAACTGACCTGGCAGACAAGAGGTAATGGAGGGCAATTGGTGACCTGGCTATTTTGACTGCAGATGGCTAGTTTACTTTTTAAAGGCACCACTAACTGTTCTTAAGTCAGACCTCAGTGGCCCTTTAGGACTTAAGTGGCCTGTAATTAGTGAAATTCCCACTATCCTTGCTGTTTTTTCTATAACATCTGTAATAGAATGTCCAAGGTGCTTTATATATATAAACCCTCACCTGATCCACACAGCCTCTTTCTCACTGTTTGGTACAAAATACTCTGCTGATTGGAAGATAAGACTGAAAGCAACTTTGAAAAAGTCAGGAAATTCTGCATGTCAGCAACATTAAGTGAATCTTTGTGCACGGCAAATGTAAGAGGCCCTATCAAGTCTAATTTGACTTCAGATGTAAATGTGTGAAGCCATATTTTACAAAACCTGAGATCAACAGACAGGCTTCCTACAAAACATAATTCCCCTGCAGTAGCACAGCACCGTATTGTTTGAAACTAGCAAATTAAATAAACTCACAATTAACAAACATGAATCTGGCCACTCTCAGCTGTCCAAAATGAGAGATGTGAAAAGTAAGCTTGACTCTTCAAATTCAGTAGGTTTAATTTAAAGTGTGACTAGTACATTAAGGAAAGCAATTCAATTTTTGAGGAAAAAATGAATTGTAACAGTGACACTTCAGTATGTGCAATGTGGTAGTTAGCATCCTAGGGACCAGAGATTTGCCTTCCTGAATCTCAACTTTAGATTCTGATCCTTAATGTGTAATGAAAGCTTATTGCATTTATTGAAATTTACTCTCTGTAAAGGACAAAGTGCACTGAAATAAAATGTCACATAAGTACCATCATGATGGACACAATAGAAATACTGTAAATACAAAGAGTTGCTGTGCCTTTATTTCATGGTGTATAACCTCAGAAGCATGTCTGCTCATGTATGTTGAGTGCTAGGCACCTCCTCACATTGTTAGTGTGTTAGGGGGATTAAACTGTACACTATTTTTAAACAATTTCAAAACTGTTGCCTTCAGCTATATCACAAGTATTAACTGTTGAGTTCTAGGCCATGGAAATTTGAATGCTTCAAGCTAAGCTATTAGAATTATTCATGTACAGTCAAAAACACAAACTGAACTGGGGAAAACATTTGGAACTCTCACAACTAAATGCAGTCTTACCAAACTAAAACAGTTCCTCCCAGGCTGCATGCAAGATACTTCTGTCTACTGGGTGACTTTCAAGCTATAAGATTAATTTAAACAGAGATACTTTGTCATGCATAATTCTTTCACTGGTGTGGTAGCTATGCTAGAAGCACTTGTAAACAGTCAGCCAAACAGTCTCAGTTGGCTATTTAGTTGTCTCTGCTTTGACATGAAGCTCAACAAGATGCCAGGCTGTACAATTCTGTTAAAGGACTCCTTTAAATCTGCTTTTTATTTTACTATTTCCAGGAAGTATAAAAATCACTTTAGAGTTTACTGTCTGCATTCTCTGCTTCCCCCATTGTGTTGGTGTTAACACAACTGCTCATGTAACATGGCACTCAAACCTTACATGTGCATATTGCTGCTCACTTGCTCCTTGGCCCTTGTCTACCCTTAACACTTCTCCTTTACTAGGGAGAGCATGCCTTGCTGCTGTGTTCAGCTTTCCAGCCCCACTGGAAAGATCATGTGCAGTTCTGTTAAACCAACTAGTAGTGAATTACTCACAAAAAGAGGCTAGGTTCCAACTCACTGTGCCAGCTTATTACTAGGGATGTAAGCAACTAATCAACTATTCAATAAGCAAAACTTATTGGATAGTTGACACACTAGTCACTTCCCTTCCACTTGCTGCCTTTATCAGAAAGAGGCAGCAAAGGGAGGGGAAAGGTGCTGCGGGAGCAAGCTTAAAAGCTAGTTCCCTCCAGCTCCAGCTCCGTGGGAGGGGGCAGGGACATAGTGGCAGCTTCCAACTTTGAAATGCACAAGAGTCCCTGCTGGTAGTCCTTATCAACTAATTGAATAGCTGATGGAAAGCCCACCGACTGTTCGATTAGTTAATCAAAATTTAACATCCCTACTTAGTATTTGGGTACTGACAAGATGCTCTGTTAGCTGAACCAGACCCGTTGTTGTGTTTACTTCATGCCAGCAAATCTAATTCATTCCCCTGAAGCTCTATTATAATTCACTTTTGGTTTCAAAGCTCCTTTCTGCTAAGCTTTACTCTGTAAAGTCCCACTGACAGTGGATGCTACCATAAATATTTTACCATACGTTCCAAGAACATTGAAAACTCTTCCCAGCAGGAACAGCTTAAACTAAGTCAATAAACACACATCAAATGGTGAGTTTGATGGTCTAGAATAAAAGGTCTGGCTGACAGGGATTCCAAGCTGCCTCACTTTTGATCAGCTAGGGAAAGGGACTAGATTAAACATGAGAACCATGCTTTAGTCACAACAACACGATGGCCTGAGCAATTAATTCTTTACATTGTTTCTGGGTGCTTGGAATACCTCTGGCCTCATACATCAGTCATCTGGCTCTCAGATTTTGGGCTTTTTAATTTTTACAAGCTTGTGGAATTTACCATTGTCTTTTTTCAGTGCTGGAAAATACAATACAGATTGGACCTCTGCAATCTGGGATTTTCTGGTCCTTCAGCATTGGACCGCTGATATTGCTGGACCAGAGAGGCCTGGCGGCTCGAAGCAGAGGCCAGCCAAAGTTGGGAGCCCAGTCCTGGCCAGGCCCAGTGTCCAGGGCTGGCACTCCGGAGTGGGACAAAGGCTGGGAGAGGAACCTAGAAGCAGAATTGATGGGCAGGAGGGGAGCCTTGACTTCCCCTAGACCGGCAAACTCTTCCCTGGTTTAGTCCACTCAGGTCCCAAGGGTGCCGGACAAGGGAGGTTCCAAACTGTAGCAATCTTGTCAGTCACCTTGCCCAGGATTATATTTTCTGATGGTATAGAAGTGTGGGACACCCCTATATATTAGCTCATCATTTGTGCAAGTCCTAACAAGATAGCCAAAGATTTTGCTGTGCTTGCAGTTTATCCGTAGTAGGAGTGCAGGTGGCATTTGGAATTCTCACCTAGTGGGGTAATCTAGATTGTACCAGATACCTTGTCTAGACCAGGAAAAGAACTATAAAGATGTGCTTTTAACTTGAGCTAGCCAATGTGAACTGAACAACTAAAACTCTGGTCAAAGAATCAACCTGCCTTGTCATGCCTCCAGTTTTAGGTCTTTAGGTCATGTTGACTAGTTAAAATACTGCACCTGTAATCCTAGGCAAAGCCCTAGTGTCAGTCTGAGCCTGGCCATGACTCTTGATAAAGCCCGTAAGAACCAGATACTGCCCTCTAGGCTGGAGCCATTTACTTAATTTGTCATTTTATTTTGTGTAGCCTACATTTTCCTTCCATGCTAATGTTATTTCAGTTGCGGCCAACTCATTCATGGATTTTTTTTTTAATTTCTACCACCATTTCTGTCTATTTTCCTTTTGTTTTGGTTTCTTTTCTGTGATTTGTTCTCATTGCTGTAGACAGGTTTCTATAGAGGAGGGTGAGAAAAAGGCCCAAGAACTGAATGTGATGTATATTGAAACCAGTGCTAAAGCAGGATATAATATGAAACAGGTATGTACAGGACATTGGTCAGGGATGCTCTTATAGGTGCTTATCTCCCAAGCAGCAGCTCAGTACTTGATATTTGAATTTCACTTCCTATTGGAGCCTGACACCTTCCTATCACCTTACAGAGTTTTCTTCTGTTGACTTGGGAGGATTTGCTTTTTGCATGGCTTCACACTGATTCTGTTGCATTAGGTACAGTTGAAGGTGGCCTTTCCTTCCCACCATAAGGAGGCTATGAATGAGACTTAAGTGTGTTACTACATGAAACACACCTGATACAGATTCATCCTTATTGGTGGTTATAATCTACATATTCCCTGAGCTGCTTATTTGGGTTGGTCCCTTCTTAGCTGGTGCATAAGGAGGAGGAAAAGGGAGGGAGGGGCATAAAGGCTTAGAAGCCCTATAGTCTCCCTTCTTGGACAATGCACGACTATTGAAACCCTTTGCTGACAAGTGTTTCAGTCACAAAAGTGTCTAACTCATGCTTTCTCTTCTGTCCTTTCTTCTCTTGCTCTCTCCTCTTTGAATATGTCTGCCCAGACAAATCACTACGGAAGAAGGTGAGCAGAGAGCCAAAGAGCTGAATGTGATGTTTATTGAGACAAGTGCGAAGACTGGATACAATGTGAAACAGGTAGAGCAGCACTGCACCCTTAGGATGCAAATTCTATACTTTTCACTTCACTGTGCTTGGGGGAGATGAGCTGCTTTTTGGGGTTTCTGCTGCAAACAGATCTCCATTTCCCACTTTACCCTCTGCCTCTATATTCTCAGCCTTTGAAATTTTTCCCTTTAGGTAGTCAGTGCCTCCTTTAAATAGAGGAGGCTTCCTCTCCTGCCAACCCAAGGATGACTCCTTCAGGTAGTAATGCTAAGGGATCCTATTAGCAGCTGAGAACCCTGTTCCCAAACCTCTGACACCAACAATACTTGCTGCATATGCTGACATGCAAATGCATGTGAGAGCTTTGGAAACAAAGCACCAGTGTTCCCTTCGCAGCTAAATTAGCGTCCTGTTGAATTTCCTTTCTCAGATTGTGGTTTCTGCTGGGGCAGGGTTAAATCTTGTTCCATATTTGCCTTTAAGTATACCCAGCATCACTGCTGTCAGGAAACATACTCAGCCCAGATTTGCACTAGTCAGAATGTGCTGCAGGGCAGTAGGTCTGGCGAAGGACCTCCCACCTGGTTGGGGAATTCTCAAACAGTAAATTAACTTTACTCTTTAACTAGATTTCTGTGCACCAGTAAAATTCTGGGCCTAATCTACTTGATAGTATTACTTTATTTGTTTAGCAGTTATTTGGAATGTGTAAATTTCTGTGATTCCCTAATGCTACTAGGTAAGTCCAGCTTTGTGTTTCTGAGCTGTTGCCATCTTGTACCTGAGGCCCTACTCATGATTGTCAAATGTAGGGAAGGAAGAACATGGATAGACAGAAAAGAGATGGTCCCTAAAGGCTATGTGCAGCGCTTTCAAGTCAGCCCCTCCACTCCTAGCTCACTGCCCCAGAGCTTGGGGTTTTTTTTAACTTAAAGGGTAGACTTTTAAACACTGTCATTCCCTAGAATCCGGAGCTCATTCTGGACAAACTAGATCAATTTAGTAATGGATAGAGCTGTCCAGGAACACAATCAGCAGCTATGCCCAGAAGTAATGGGGATGAAATGGTAAATTACTGCCTTTCACTTCCATCCCTATTGAGTGCAGGGTGGAATTATTAGTCTGCCTGCTCTTAACATCATGGTATCCTGTGATGTGTGGAACAATGGTATGGTACAGTTAAAGAATAAAACCAGCTGAAGCAAAATCCTGAACCAAAGATGTGTTTTGTAAATACTCAGTGGCTTACCAAACTTGATACAATATTTGGAATGGGTTTGAATAAAATCCTGAAGATATATTTTGCGAGGACTGTGTTAATTACTGCAGTCCTGTCTAAAATTTGTCTCTAACTCTTGGCAAAACCTTGGCTTTCCAACAGTAACTGTAGAGAGAAAATTAAGATTGTAATCATTTACTGCTTTTGATAAACTGTGCATTCACCTGTTGTTGTGGTTGCTGCCTTTCAGCTTTTCCGCCGTGTGGCTGCTGCCTTACCTGGGATGGATAGCACACCTGAGAAGAGCAAAGAAGACAGTATCCTTGTCTGCTACTCAGTAGCTTTCTTATTGCAAGAATTAACAAGGTTTCCTTGTTGCCAGCGCAACATGCTGCAGGGCAACAGGCTTGGTGGAAGACTTCACACAAGGACAGCTGGCTTGCTGTCCTTGACAGATTGAGGGTGGGCATGGACCTTGATTCAGTTACTTATGCTTTGCAGTGATGTAACCTTTATATTATAATGCTCACCTGCATGTGTAAATGGAGGAGCTGTAGCCAAGTGTCCCTGGCCACTCGTTACACTGGGGCCAGTATTGAGCTTTTGCTGTCTAAGCTTGGGGTGTAATGTGTTTCGATTTGTAATATTTCTTGGTTGATGCAGACATTCTTCGGACAGTGCTGGGTGAAGCCAGTGTGCTCTTCAGTGTGCATCTTCTGCTAATGCATCTTCCCTTCTCCAGAAGGGAGACTGAGAGTCTAATCAGTATTATTGGAGAGAAAACTGTCAAGTGGGGCTTAGCTAGAGCTCATCAAACTCAGCCCCTAAATGACTATCTCAGACTGAGGGGCAGGAACATAGCCTTTGCCAAAGCAACAGTCCATAGAAATCCATGACTTGCCCATCTATCCATCTAATGCTCTAACAGTTACTAGTGACTCCATACGTGCACAAACCTGGTAATATAGCAGGGAGTGGAGACTGTCAGGGGTCCTTGAGAAGCATGCTTCATAGGGCTAGTGATTTGCCATGAGCTGTTTATGGAGAAAGGCCGGTTCAGATTTATAGTGTAAATGCCCCAAATCTCAGGTCACACTATTTTAAAACTACAGGAAGTTGCTAACATGCTGTAGTCAATTTGCTGGCTTCTATTAGGGAGAGTAGGTGCTGTACTGGCCCATGTATCCTGGTTCAACTGTTATAACAGCAGCAGCAGCCTTGGTTGTCAGATGTCAATCTATAGCTGTTATTTTAATACTTCTTTTTCCAGCCTTGACCTTCACAGAGGCAGCAGCACTCTACCTATGCCTTCAGCCAACTGTTGGCTCTGGAGATGTCTGCTTCAAAAAATTAACCTCATAGTTCCTGGTGTTGATGCCTGTGTACCAAGCCACTAGGTGACTGCTCTTGGTACCCAGTTCTTAACTATAGAAATCCCCAATTTCTGGATTAGGTAAAGTCTGTGCTTTGTGTGATTTATTGGACTTGAGTTGTATTGTGATGCTTTGCCCATGACTTTGGCCATGACCTCTCCTTAACTTGTTTTTTTCCAGTGATTGACATCAAGCTAGAGAAACCTCCTGAGCAGCCAGTAACGGAGAGCGGCTGCTCCTGCTAAAGTGCCCATTGTATAGCAACACTTTCCCTGATTGGCCAGTCTCACTGAAGAGCATCACTTCTCATTGGCTAGGCAAATCTACTTTCTGTGAACTGAAGAAACAGCTAATCAATCTACTAAGTGAGCGAGCTCGCTGTTAGCTGGTGGGGAACAGCCCTGGCTGCCCCTTCTAGTGCATGGTATGAGCCCTGAGTGCAGAATGAATGTCTTGTCCCCTTTTAGTTGTTGCACTTTGGCACCACGGTGCCCTTTACTCCATCCCACACCTTGGGCCTATCTGCACAGGTGTATGTTCCTGTGAATGTGACAGAAAAGCTGCCACATTAGGGAAAACAAAAATAAATCTGGGGGTTGGTTTTCCATCTCCCCAATTGTCAGTTTTCCTTTCACTCCAGTAATGTTTTCTCTCCTGTTTCCACTCCCTCTCCTCCCCCCCAGGCTTCTCCTTTAAAACTACTCAGTCTGTTTGCCAGTTGGCGGTGATCTAGTCTCTCTCTTTTGCTCCCTGCAGAGCATGCACAGTACTAGCTTTCCAGTTCCTCCCTCCTGTGGTTGGTCTTGGCCAAGTCCTGAGTCTTCTCTTTTGAGGTTTGTGAGAAGGAGTTTCCCTGCCCTTCTCACTTCCTACATGAGCACTTCTATTCCCGATCTGCTGTAGCACAAGCCACTGATTGTTTGCTTCCTTTGACCTGTGGAGGGTAGAATCCCCCAGGATCACTGGCTTCAGTGGGAGCCTTTACCCTGGGGAATGCTGACAGCTGCAGGGGAGGAGGATAGACAGACTTGCTACAGCAGTCAGTCTCTGTGGGCAGCCCGCCTGACTTCCTCTGTTGATGTCCTGGGCTCTATCTGCAAGCTGCAGCTGACATCTAGACTGTATCACTAGGATGGCATATTAGGACTGGGCATCCCAGGTCCCCTTCTGGTTCTTGTCACCTGCAGACGTACAAGGTGCGTTTCTTGCGGAGCATACGCAGCTTGCTGTCTGCTAGCCAGACAGGATACAAGCTGTATAATTGCTAGTTATACAGAAATAGAGCTTGCACTGCAGAAGTGGCTCAGGTCACAGTGCCTGCCGCTCCAGCCAATGTAGTGGAAGGGCAACTGAGCATCTCGTGTCACCAAAATTCATTCTAGTGGAACAGCAGTTTTACTTTTTTAAACTATCTATTATATAGCCTAGGAAATAGAACATGTCTGCCCATAACCTTGCAGTGGCCTTTGCTGGAGAACCTCCTTACCCCTGTATGTGGGGAAGATGGTAGGTCATCAGTCCCAGCATCGGGACAAGCAGTTCGGAACTGATTTGTTTCCCACCATCAAAAGGGGATGACGATTGGATTAAATATGGGGATGTGTTGATTTTTGTGGCCACTTCTGTTCCATCAGTTTCAGTAGAGAGAACATCTCCTAGTGATTCTTACGATGGTTTTAAGGGGGATTTTTAAGTGATTTTTACCTCTGTGCTCATTCAGAACCCTGCTGTGATCAGGCTTGTCCGATGTACAAAGAAAAGATGGAGACATCCTGATAGATCATCCATTTGACTGCCTGGTAGTGGTGTTAGGGTACATCTTAAAGTGAGGAGAGAGAGAGCAGTAGAGCAGGGACTTGGGTGGGAAGCAGCAGTAAAAATTGTATGCCCCTGGTATACTACCTGGTCACCCCTTCAGTTAATGCCCTTTTCATGAATCCTGTGTCCTATACAGGAAGAGGAAAGAATTGTCACTTATCTGGATGAACTAACTTGATCCCTGATAGCTGAGATTTCCCTTTTGGGAATACCCATAATGTCAGGATTGGCTCTTCCAGTTGTGTTCACTTACTGGCCATGGAGCACCAAGCTACTGGTTGTTAAGGTAGATACATTTGGTATGTGGTCAGCATTGTCCCTTCCTCTCCATGAGCTGATCAGCAGGGAGAAGCTGACATGTTTTGTTCTTTGTTTCTTCTTCCTATTCTGGAGTGTTCCCTTTTTCCTATCTGAAGCCCTCAGTCACCTAGTCTGAGTCCTCTAGAACCCACCCGAGGGTGAAGCCCTGTCCCCATACTATGTATATACTCCCTGTTGTGTGGGAATTGCTGATGTTCTGTCAGTGTCTGTGTCTGCAGTAGAACAGGTTCCGCTCTCCCCTTCTTACTGGCAGACATATCCTGCCACTGTGTTGTATTGTTCTCTCGAGTCACTGGACTTTCTTTTTTGGGGGAAGAGGATATGAAGGGGAGAATAAGTAATTGGGAGGGAAAACATAGTGAAATAAAATAGTTCACTTTCCACTGCCTTCCCTATGAATGTGCATAATAGTGAGTGTGTGTCTCTGGCCCTGCTGTCTCCTAGCTGTTAGCCAAGTAAGTGTGACTATTAATATGAATAACGACTGTCTGACCACAGCCGTGTATCACACTAAATAAAGTTATTTCACCAACACCTTTTCTGTGTTTAAGTACTGTTGCCGCCATTCATTTTACTCAGTGCCTCTACCCCTGCCAATTTATCTGTGGAAGAAACAGGTAACAGGCTGTTCCATCTAAATGCCATTATCCAGCCATGCATATTCAGCCAGGCTTTATGGGTTGCTTGAAAAATGTCTTCTGGATTCTTAGTATGTCTCAAAGAACCTCTCAGAGCCTTTGGGTTAAGTTACTGTTTCTACCTGGAGGTTGTGCAATCAGTATTGTACTTTGTCCTATAACTCTAATCATTCTTAGAGATGGGTGTACAAAAAGTAAATGAACTAGTTTCATCCACTTCAATGTGAACTATGAAAGCATGCCTAGCAGTTGCATAGTTTTAAAGCACTTTACAAACCAACTGTGAATAAAAAGTATTGTGTAGTTGATGGGAAAGCCAAGGCTCTGAGAGAAAACTGCAGTGCCTTCAGATGATGGTGAGTTGGTCATAGGCTTGGGAGTAGGTTGCAGGAGTCCTGACTCCCAGCCCCAACACCCACTGTCTCCTGCTCTAACCAGTGTGTACCACTTCTGGGAAAAGAAAATTCATGTGTGCCATTTGTCAAAGAAAGGAGAGGCAGAAATGTTAGTTGCTCATTTCCAAGCAGCCTCAGAAATAGGAGGTGCTGACCAGGAAGCCCGAGGCAGAGTTGCTCTGCCCCAGGCTTCCTGGAATCAGCCGCTGGTCAGTTTCAGCAGCAGCTGACTTGGGGAAGCCTGAGTTTCTTAAGTTGAATCTGTATGTAAGTCAGAACTGGAATCCAGATTCAGCCGTGGTTGAAACTGATCAGTTTCAGCGGCGGCTGACGCCAGTTCCGACTTACATACAGATTCAACTTAAGAACAAACCTACAGTCCCTATCTTGTACGTAACCCGGGGACTGCCTGTATTTCATTGGTTGATAAGAACTTCCACGTTCTGCCTTCAAAATGTACAAGAGTCTCGGCGGCAAAGCGGAAGCACCCGCATGGAGCCCGGGGCTCAGCAGGACTCCCCGCTGGCCCAGGGGTTCCACACGGCATTCTAACTTTGAAATGAACAAGAGCCCCAGCGGGGACTCTTGTACATTTCAAAGTTGGCTGCTGCTGCACCTCTGCCCCCACTCCCACGGAGCTGGAGGGAACCAGCTTTTAAGCCAGCTCCCTCCAGCAGCCCCTTTCTCTCCCCCCTCCCCCCCGTCCCCCCCCCGAGCGGAAATGACTAGTCAACCAGTGTTTTGCCTATCCAATAAGCTTTTGCTTATTGGATAGTCGACTAGTCGATTAGTCACTTCCACCCCTACCTCCATCCAGGTTCTTTCTCCTGGAGTGATGGGCGGACATCTTGGTCAGCACCTGAGGGAAATTGATGAGGACATTTCACAAGAGTGTGGTGCCACCGATGGGGTGTGCGTGATGAGGTGTGTAGAGAAACGCAAACAGCTCAGTAATTTCTGGAGGAGCCAATCTGACACACCCTCCATAAATGTGTGCCAGGATATCCCTCTCACCACAGAAAGGACAGGTGTCACGCGTTGCTGATGGCTCCATGGAGGAGCTGCCAACTGCTATGCCTGGCTGTCTGTAGGACCAGAGTGGAGTACAGGCTGGCTCACCAAGGTTCCTCACCCTCCTCAGGCAGCAGCAGAGCCCACCCCTTCAAGTGGGATGGGACGTAAGTGTGAGGAAGTGGATGGTGTGAAGCATTAGCATGTATCAATGTTTTCTGGTCATGCTGTAGAGACAGACCATCATTGAGCCAATTTGGATGGTATCATGGGGTAGGGGCCTAATGAGTTCTAGGGGATCAAGTGTAAGCAGAAAGAACCTGCTTGAGAACAATGAGATAAGTGGAAGGCAAGGCTGGCTTTGCCTCCTGGAGCACAAGATGGAGGACATGCAGCATGGGAGACCCATGAACAGGCCCAATGCCATGGGATCTACTCAGTCTTTCCAATCGTAGCCCGAGAGGTCTCCAATTCTTGTGGCACCCACCAGGGGCAAACCTTTCCTGCACCAAGGGGATGCCACGAACTGCATGCAGAGAAAGGGTTGTGTTGCAGGGATTCTATGGCGAGATCCCCCTCCCCCCGCCCACACACAGACTCCATGGTTGCTATAGACCTGGTTGCTGAAACTAGCTTCTAGGCTCTAATGAGGTCCTGGTAAAAGACTTGTAGCTCAGAGAGGTCTTGCTGAAGACAAATGACCTGCTGGTTGCATCAGCGGTGGAGGAGGAAGTGTCTCCTAGCATGCCTCATTCCAGCATACCTACACTACCACAGAAAGTAGGAGTGGACACCAGGCCTAGTCTGTCCTTTCCAGAGGAAGACTCAGGACAGCTACTGCAAGTCAGTGCAATCCTAGCTAGAAAAACTCCATTCTCTTTTTGCTGGAGGTTCACCAGGTTTCCTCAGTGTGAGGAAGAAGAAAAAAAAAGTGCTTAACCTTAGGAGAAGTGAAAGAAAGGGGAGTAAGAAAGCAGCATGTGACTGAGCTAGAAATGGACAATAAACTGGCATGGGTGCATGGGGTAAAATATCAAGTACCTTCATAGAGCCTTCTGCTAGACCTTGTCTCCACTTGTGGGACTAGAATGGGGGTGGGCTGGCTGGAGGAGGCCCATTAGCCCAATGCAAACGGAAGGGAAGGGAATTGGGGGGATGTCCAAGAGGGCACAAACCCACCTGTGCTTGCAAAATTGGAGTTTTTGCTGCAGCAATACCAGGGTAAACAGGTGGGTGGAGGCAAGCAGATAGATGGTCTTCAGGAGCAGCAGTGGGAAAATCCCAGGTGTACAGGGAATAGGCCCGTCAACAGGGGAGGGCAAAGGGGGCAATTGTACCTGCTCTTGGTAGACGTAAGGGGACCCTGGCTGCTGCTGTGGCAGCCCTGCCCTGTTTCTTTTAAATAGCACTGCTGTGGCAGTGGCTATAGGGTGTCCCGGACCTTGGATCCGTGAAACAGCATGGTGAGAGGGGGCCAAGAGCTCCCTGCTGCTTTAAGCCCCCGTGCTCAGGTCTGCAGAGTAGCAGGGGAGGGGCAGAGCTCCCTGCTGCTTTTAAGAGTGGCAATAGCAACAATGAGAGCCCCCATGGTGGGTCCTTTCAAATCCTCTGCTGGGCACTGGGGTGAAGGGCTGTGGGGCTCTCTGCCGCTTTAAAATCACACAGTGAGATAAACGGAGGTTATGGTGGCAGCTTGTGCCATGCAGTGTGTGCACAATTCTGCTGCTGCTGTCACCTCCCTTCTCCAGCTCCAAATTGGGGTGACGTTTTCCTGTTTAAATCTGTCCCTCCATTCCCAGGCTGCACATCTAGTGATAGCCAGGAAAACCCCTGGGTCTGTGCAGTTACCAGCCAATGCTTCCCCCAACCCCACTAACTTTCCCAGCCCGTACCAGCCAAAATGAGATTGTAGCTGCGCTGAAAGGTAATTTCTCCCAGTATTTGCTTTGTAGACTCAGGAGAATATTGTGTTCTGCACCTTTCATACTGGAGTAGCAGAGACTGCAGGCACCCCTCCCCCAACGTTGCTCTGTCCTGAGGCACCTCTGTGCTCCCGGGGCCATCTGCTCACTGTACAAGGGAGGGTTAGAGGGTGCTGATGGCACTCCTATCCCTATCTCTGCAGAGTGGGGGAGGGAGACAAGGCTCAGGAGTGAGTCTTTTTAAGACAGCTCAGAAGCCCCAAATTTCCTCAGCAGCCAGCACATAATCTCTTATCACAACACTGCAAAGGATCCAAGGTCAGCGGGAGGCCAGGCTGATTCCCTGGAGTGCCCCGCCAGAGGGCAGTTGCGGTGTCACAGTGGCCAACAAGTTTGCGCGGCACACCTCAGCCTAGCCGTTGGCTGAGCGACAGAGTATAAGGCCCAGCCTGAGGTGCAGCCTGGGCTAACCATTTAGAAGGCCCAGCCCTTGGGCAGGGCGGGGCAGATAGACAAGTGCTTTACACAAGCAGTGCAATTGTTTACAGTTTATAGGGCCCAGCCCTGGGTCAACGGGGGTGTGGAGGGGAATAAACATTTACCAGGAGCAGTTCAACAGTTTTGAGCAGGGTTTCCCAACCTATGGGTCGGGACCCCAATATGGGTTACTATTACATTTCAAAAGGGTCACCAAGTGTCTCTCTGGGTGGTTCTGCCCTCCCTCTCTCCCCCACCCCCATTTTTTAATGGCCTTAGGTTACCCAAGTATTCCTGAATTGTCAAAATGGGTCCCCATCTGAAAAAGGTTGGGAACCACTGGTTTAGAGCTTCAGCTGGGTCCCAGCTGAGCAGGGGTCCGGTCTCCTCACTAGTGGAGAGCCGACAAGCACAGGGGTTTTTTCCCCACAGGGGGAGCTGCCACCCAAGGGAAGGGATGGCAGGGGGACGCAGGCCCAGTCACTCAACTGCATCCCAGAGCAGGGCCCTGATAGTGGCAGCGCTGCAGCCACAGGGTTGGCAGGGATCCGGGCTGCTACATGCCAACTAGGTCTGTGGGTCAGCAGGGATCCAACCCACAACAAACTGCCCACCCTATCACCATCTCCTCAGCCACCCCAGGGTTGGCTATCCCTGGGCAGCTTCCTAGTTCCACCTGGGGGTCTACCAGGCTTGGGCGCTGCTCCTCGGGGTCTGCTGGCGATGGAGGGGCTGGCAGAGTATCCATGGGTTCCAGCTCAGGTAAGGGCCCTGGTAGGCTGGTCCAGCAGAAGTCCCGAAGGGCTTGGCATGTCTTCAGGCCTTGGCAGCGGTTTCAGCAGCTTGGGCCAGGGATCGGGGGCCAGCAGGGGTCCTGGCGGCCCAACCCAGTCCTCCCATCGGGGGCAGTGCAGCTGAGCCCTTCACTGCAAGAGCTGAAGCCAAGCATCTGGCCTGTTTGGCTACTAGGTGCTGACTAAGCTCTAAGCTTTATACTCTTAGTCCTGCCTTCCAGCTTCCCGTGAGCAGGGCTAGGTGAGGCTGGACCTACCCACCAAGGGGTCTTAGAGGGCCCCTGCCTCTTCTGGGTC